AAAAAGGACTCTATGTTTACCCCAAAACCCCAAAACCCCTCATGGCCTATTAACCTAAGAAAATTTGAAATAAAATTTAAACTAAAACTAAGTTAATAATTGCATATTTAGAGAGACTACTATGATATTTTAATTGCAATGAAACTAGGATGATATCTCTGCTCATTTACTCTCTGGATATTTGGACACTAAAGCAGCTAAGTTATTTCCCTTAATATTGGTAAACTTGGCATCACCTCCAAGAATTTTATCAAGAGTTGCACTAATATCTTATTCTGAAATACTCTTTTCATGGACTAGGTATCTCTTTCTCTTGCCAGGGTTGAGAATAACTACCTTAGGGAGATCTTCAGCGGCGACTCCGAACATCTAAGCAAAGGTTGACTCTGCAGTAGCATCGAGCCACATAAAATAAAAGTTAATACCTCTGCTAATCTTGCTTGCAAATGATTGGCCAGTTTGATATAATTTATCTGTTGCAGTGCTATCCTTTGAAGCATTGTCCTTGACAATATAAATAACACAGAGAGCTCCCTCTTTCTTTAAACAGATATCATCAGCTGAATCACTTGTTAATTGGGGAACTTTCTCATTCAACCATGGCTTACTAGCAGAGCTCTTTACTTCTTCGTTTCCAGTTCTGAAGACAAAAGTCTCAGAGTAAATATTAATGAAATCGAATATGGCCTAGTAGCTGAAATCAGTACCATCATATTTCTATGGCTTAGCATCCTTGTTATTGATCAAGAAAACTGCTGGGTATGACTTTACCTTGTATTTTGATACTATACCTTGTTCACTATCTCTAATCAAACCAAAGAGAAGAGTCTTATCAAAATGAGAGCTTAAAGCTTTGTAAATTGCAGGGACACCTTTTTTATCTGAGAAAAGGATTACTTTTGGTTTTCCTGGGTTCTCATTGATGAAAGTATCAAAGTTGTTTTGAGTAATCTCAATAACTCTTGATGTAACAAATTTCAATGCGAGCTTTTTAAGCTTATCGAAGTCGATCTGAGTGTCTTCATAATCTTAAGTAGGTGCTGGGAATGGTGGATAGATTCTGAAGGTTGGGTACTTGTCTACTTTTTCTTTTGTGCAGAGGCTTTCGAAGTCATTGCAATCGATAGCGTCCATTCTGAACATTCCCTTGTTCTCCTTTGCAAAGTTTTCGTATTGCCCAACTACATTCTTTGATACTCCATCTAGAAAATAGATTAGGTGTGTTTACATTTAGAAATTTCTGGATCATACCTGTGTCTTTGTAGAAATGAACTATTGTGATGCCCTTTGCTCTGTTCTTTGCTACTTGTCCTTCCCAGTTCTTTTGATTAAGAACAGTAACATAAGATTTGACTGGATCGTAAAGTGCTTTTGATGTAGCCATAGCGGCCAAACCAAGAAGAAGTATGACTGCATATCTCATTGTCTTGAGAGATTATGTAACACGCATTTTAAATTTAATAATTTCAATCTAATAGAAACTTATAATTATTTAATATCTGATTTTATAAAAATTTTGATACTTTCCACCTCTAGG